GGGTGATCGTTTAATGCTATTTACCCTAATAGTTATGTTCCTCAAGCAAGCCAACCAAATGTTGCAGAATTGCATGCCAACCCCTAGCCTGCTTTTTTTTTTTTCGCCTTTTCATTGTATATTTGTTTCAAATGCACATCATTTGCCAAGTTCTGCTCTTTCAAGTGTGCTAAAATCTTTTTCGGCTGCACATAACTTTTTGACAACATATGAGTTATGGCCACCTCTTCATGTGTCATTTTAGTCGACCCATGTCCCCACATATATACTGGATCATGATTATATTTCTTGTATAATATTCTAAGTTTTCATCTATCCCCGTAGTGTCCGGCTCCCACTAACTGAAAAGCACAATAATATTTTTTGTACCATGCCATCTCGTACTTTCCATATTTTGTTTGTTGCAGTTATTTGCTTCGGCACAAACATATCACAAGATATAGTCCATTCTTAGGACTATTTTCTTCACCAACTTCACACCAAGACTCTTAACGGTCGCTCTCGCCAAATTTATCAACTCATCTCTCGAGTTGAATAATTGCGTTACTACAAAATACCTACTATGATCAATAAATGTAAAGAATTTTGTTGCTCTTGAAAAGTAATGAAACAAAACAAAGTTATATATATATAAAAAAAACCAAACTGCGCATCCAAAAGCAACGCACACGCCCAAATTGAGCATCGAATGGACTGCGCACGCCGAAATTGTGCGTGGATCATACTTCTGGGTGTTCAATTCTGGTGTGAAAGTACACTTCGAGCGTCCGTTTTGGTTGTAAGACATCTTTTTGAAATTTTACAACGAAATAAATAATGTTTACTTCATTATAATGTGTATCTCGATCCTCATCCGTTGCACTCATTTTTGTTTGTAAATCACTTGTATAACACAAGGTTTTGGATAATGTAAGATTTTTTTGGCTTGAGAAGCTTTTATTCTAGTGAAATAAATAGAGGGTAGAGAGTGAACTAGAGGTAGTAAATGATTTTGAGTCAGCTTGTGAACTCGATGAATCGACAAAAACTCCACACGGCGAGCTCAGCTCGTTGACACCCTTTAGTGAACGATGTTCGTAAATATGGAACCATAATTAACAAGTAATTCGAGGCGTTCCTTGCTAAAAGTAGAGTTGCTGGCTACTGATTTCTTAATCAAATAACTTGGCGGTAGCCCGGAAAAAAAGCTGAATGGCTCCGCCGCCGCTACAGAGGATTTAACCGGCGTATGTGCTGACATTTTCTCAGGCCAACACTAAATTGGACTCTTACAATGAACGAAGCACTCTCTCTCTTACTTCAAAGGACGCATTATCTGACAGGTATAAATCCAGTATCAG